ATGTTTATTGGAATATGACATAATTGATAAAATACAGGGTATCACGGTCGACAACGCAACTGCAAATACCAAATTTATGTATGAATTGGACAAACAGCTGCCACACTTTGATTCAGACAATCAACATTTCCGGTGCTTTGCTCACATTTTGAACCTTGGTGTACAAGATTTATTAAAGACCTTAGCATTACACAGTGAAACTGACAATAAGGGACAAGAATAGCAGTATGAAGATAATGAAGACAAAACTGAGGAAGATGAAGAATATGCGCGCCAAATATTGCTGACTCACGTACACAACAAAATTACGCAGTATTTCCAGTAAAATAAAAAGAAGTGAGATATTGAAGAGGAAGTTTCAGTCTGCTTGTGAAGCAGCTGGCGTGCCATCAAATCTGAACCCCATACTCCACTGTCCAACGAGATGGAATTCCACACATGATATGATAGGATTTGGTTTAAAAGTGAGAACTGGCATTAACATATTGTGCACTTCTGTCACCGAATTGAATGATTTTCAAATCACAGATAGTGAATGGCAAATACTCGAAAAAATACATAAGTTTCTAATAAACTTTAAACTTCTATCAACGAAACTTGGTGGAGAAAAATATGTTACATTACCGCTAGTCATTGTATCATTCAATCTCTTGCTCGATAAAATTGAATCCATGGTAAAACAATTAGATGAGAAACCTAATCGATCCGAAGTGGATGAAAGGCTCATTCTGGGTTTTCATGCAGCTCGAGACAAAATGCTTAAACATTATAAAAAGAGCAACTGGATTTATTGTACCTCTTTAATTTTAGACCCAAGGCAAAAGACTCAGACTTTAGACATGACATTATGGGGGAAGCAAATTAAAACAGAAAGCCTGCGCAAATTTAATGAACTTTATAAAGAATATAAAAGTCTACACTCAGTGAATACATCTCTAGAATCACCAAGAAATGAAAAGAAAGTATGTGAATATGATGAAGATGATGATGTTTTGACTAAGTTTTAGCACATGTAAGCTTATTAAATGTAAACGTTTATTAAGAAACAGACTAACTCCCGTGGCCGTGAGACTTGGTAGACAGCTCAGTTGGTTAGAGCATCGGCACGGATCGCTTAGGTCGTGGGTTCAAACCCCACCCGGTATTAGTTGATTTTTCGAATTTCTCATTAAATGTTTAGACATTTATTAATTTGGTTGGTCTTTCCATGGCTATGTTAATTCAAGCTCAAAATGTGCCTACACTGTTAAGTTGTTCTTCTAGATAGATCTGAAGTAACGTTTAATAAATAACAATAGGCTAATAGGTAATTGCGAGACTTGCGAGACTCTTGCTGCAAGACCAAGACCGAGAACAAGACTGAGAGCGCAATACCAAGACCAAGAACAAGACCAGGTGTATTGGCGCAAGACCAAGAACAAGAATGGCTAAGTCTCGTCTTGTTCTTGCATTTGGGCAACACTAATGTTCACAAAAACAAAGGTAGTTTTAATAAAAAAAAGTGATATACACTCTGTAAACACTAGGAACAAACACACGCTAGTGATACCAGTTTGTCGACTACATAGTCAGCAATTCATTCTTCGGGCAGAAAATATACAAGGTCTCTCTATTATCAAGTTCAAATATTTAATTAAACAAAAACTGTATAAAAAGGGTTATTATGATATAAATGAATACAGGGTTGATAATAACCCCTGGGAATGAGGTGGTCGCTTCCAAGCTGTTTCTAAAATAAATTTTGTATGTTGTGACCCTTGACATTGTAAAATTTATTTTTAAAAAAAGTCCCGCTGGGTTTCTTGCTGACTCTTCCCAGGATAGAGGTTTTTTTTTCGAACCAGTGGTAAAGTAAAAAATTGACTTTTAATAAGAATTACTTGTAATCTATATTGAATAAAAATTATTCTATTCTATTTTATAAAAATTCATCCAAAAATTGTACAAAATAAATTTATTGATAATTGAAATATATTTTAAAAAAGTTCCGCTGAGTTTCTTGCTGGTTCTTCCCAGGACAGAGGTTTTTTGTCGAACCAGTGGTAAATAAAAATGACTTTCAATAAGTATTATGTAATAATCTGTATTGAATAAAAATCATTCATTTCATTTCATTCATTCATTTCATTAAGTGTGCGAAAATTAGAATCAAGAGCAGTAATTTTATTAATTGTTTGCTTCTCTTATTAATTGGTGCGTTCTTTTATTAATTGGTGGCTTCACTGTATAAGAGCCGTGGTAGCTCAGATGGTTAGCGCTCGCTGTAAATTTCACAGTAGGCGAGCAAACCGGGTTCGATCCCCGCCGGCACCAATGAAATTGTTAATTGCAATTTTAAGTGCTGATTTACCACGTGCTCGGCGATGAAGGAAAACATCGTGAGGAAACCTGTATGTCTGAGGAATAAGGAAAAAAAAATATTGCGAAGACATGTGAAGTTCGCCAACACGCATTGGGGCAGCGCGGCGGACAACTCCTTGCCCTAAAACCCTCTCAGAAATGAGGGCAGGCTTCTGCCCAGTAGTGAGACGTATATAGGCTGTAACTTGACTTTTACTTTTTTCACTGTATCTATATACATATAAATAAAATTGAAGTGTCCGTCTGTAATATTTTTTCAGGGGCTTATTTGCGTGCTGTTAAGACCATAATAACCATCTGTAAAAATTTTGTCCGTAATCTGTCCTAGGAGTCTGTAGGAGTGGCTGAAACGATTGCGATGAAACTGTACAAACTAATAGAGAGCAATGCCAGGAGCTATCTGAGCTATATATTATCGTGCAAACTTATGGATATGAAATAAATGGTATTTTATTATCTTATGGAACCCACCCAGGTGAGTGAGTATAACATAAAGGAATGCCATAAACAACACTTAATATCTTATTGTTTTATAAAATGAATTGTGATTAATAGATATTACATCACCGGCTCTAGGTTTAACGATGAGTCACAAATGAAAATTACGAGTAACTAATTCTAGTGTGATATTCCAATGTGGAAATTGGGTTGTATGAACAATAAAATAAACATCCATAATAAAATAATTTAATACGTGATTACTGTACTTTACTGAATTATCTAAAAAACAGTTCTACGGTTCAAGGCCTTATATCGTATAATCTTATACACTACATACACTTCTAGGCAAGTGACGTGTTCGTGTCAATATTTCGTTGAGTCACTAATATAAGCATCAAAAAATTGGCACCAGTTCAAGTATAGCACTTATTCTCTTGACATAGCGATGAAGCCATACACGGCATCATTATATTCAACATACACGAGAATAACCCTTTCATCAACGAGATTATGTCATTAGTCTGCAGAGGTTTACTGGTTCTTACTTTTTACTTTATTAACTGAACATAAAACATCTATAAAAACAAATATAGCAAAAGTTGAGGTTTAACAATATTTTTGGGCATTCGTAAAACTAACTAAAAATTTTATCAAGTTACAATACATACAATACACGCCGGACGCACACACGCACGCATGCACGCACGTACGCACGCATGCAAGCACGTACGTACGCACGCATACACGCATGCACGCAAGTACAGATTTAGACATAGTTATTTTATCAAAAGGAAAAGAATGTTATGTTATTCTTGTAACTAAACTAAACTAAAGGAGAACTCTATTACTATCTGTATAGATTATTATATTATTATATTTACTATCTGTAATGCCATTGATGTAAATGTATTGTTACAGAATAAACATTTTTTTATACCAATAGAAGTATAAATTTTGTCTAAATTCGATGATTAGTTTAAAAGATACAGACGGACATAGAAACGGACATACATTCCATCCATCCATTACAGGCCATAAAAGTCCACCACACAGATTGCCTCATAGAGGGATTTATGCCATAGTTGTCATACTTGGTAACCGCAGTTTCTAATGATTTTAAGCTACATTAATTAATTTTATAATAATTATAAACTATTATTATCGTACGACACACACGGGATAAGTAGGTAGTGGGTTCACGCTAGAGCCGAGCACGAGCTGAGCACAAGCTGTGCCGCTCGACTCGCGGGGTCAAGTGTGGACGTACAATAAACCTACACGTGTTCGTCAAAAAACCAACAATACGCGGAGCACATTCAAGCACGAACCAAACGCTCTAGGCGCGCTCGTTCAATGCTTGTAAGTCGGTCCACACTACACGAATTTGTGTCCGGCACATACTCCGCTCGTGCTCGACTCGTCTGGCGTAGACCCACCTTTATACCGCCACTACACGGTCCACTCCGCCCGCGTCGCCGAGCTATGTATATCTGGTATTTCCGAGCTGGTTATACGTATATTATAAAATCCACCAGCATACTTATATAAGCTGGTGGTGAGGGGATGCTGTGGCACGTGTATCCTGGATTGAGAATCGTTAAAAAGGAGATGCGTTGTCAGTTGCCACCTCTGAGTACCCAGAGTAAAGGGATCTCAGGTTGTCGTTATTCATCATACAAAACACAGGACCATTATGCTACTGTTTCACGCTAGTTCTCTGTGCTTGATCACTCCCCGGTTGAGCCGACAAATTAATCGCAGCGTAGTTCGACCAAGTAAGAAGTGTTACAAACATAGAATACTATAATAAACAATAGAATGGCTGTGAACTTCATTTTGTACGAGGCTTGGCGTCACCAAACCGGATTCGCTGTGACTGTGTGACTGAATAAATTTACACGTTTTAGACTTTTGATTAATGTTCAAGGTCATCGTTAAAACATCGTTTAAATTTTAAAACATATTTATTTGTAAATAGAGTGCAATTTGGCATTTTCTAAATAATTTGCACGCGAAATTTGGAAACGATTGTGACTTCAAAACACATCTCGTGTTGGCATTTATACGTGTGAATTGACGTGACGTGTTAGTGATATTTTAGTGGCTACGCGGGCTCCGCCCACTCCCCCGTTCTATTATGTATGTATTATGGTATTCTATGGTTTCAAATAATATAACAATATAAACAATATACCTACCTGGCAGTGCGTTAGGTGGTTGAGATCGCTTAGCAGCGGAAAGGTTAACGTCCGCACCGGCGAGCAGTAAAGCACGGACACAGTCAGGCGCGTTCGCTAGGCAAGCCATGTGCAATGGAGTATAACCCTGCTTGTTGTAATAGTTCAGAGATGAAGAGGTTTTGCTTGCCAGAATCTGTAACGTTAATTTGGTATTCAACTGTACTGCTGTTACTATGATAGATCTTGACGCGGCAGTTTGGAAAATACATGTATATTTTTCGAATCAATTCGAGCTTCTTTCGACCCTACCCCCAATGACAATTTTTTTAGGATAGGATAACAAACGAGCACACAGTCCACCTGATAGTAAGTGGTTGCTGTAGCCCATAGACATTTACATCTATCCTCGATTACGATTCAAAATGCAGATGCGTTGTCACCCGTGAGTAAGATGGAATGCCTCGTTTCCAGTAAAAAGGGTCTCCGGTTCTCTACACTCACCTTTACACAGCAGCATTAAGCTACTATTTTACGCTGATGTTCTGTGAGAGCGAGGTCCTTCCCCGGTCGAGCCGACCCATTCGTGCTACAACTATACTACTAATACAACTGCAGCATAGCTCTACCACGTATAATATATATACAAATGAAATAATTTTGCTAAACTTAAAAAGATCCTTTAGAATACCAAATTTCATAGATAAACCTATTATAGCTCACTAGTTATTACGGTCTGAAAAGTGGCATTTATATCACTCAGTTATTCACTAATTCACTCACGCACTCATCAAAAACCTAGAACCTTTTTTGGTGACTTATAAACTTGAAATTTGGCGTCAATGTAAATAATTAAGTGTAATAATATAAGTACAAAGGAAAATTTGAAAATAAAAATTTTGGAAAATTGGTGTCAATCAATTACGTTTAACGTGGTGAAATTTAATACAAGCTCAATTTTTGAGGTGAAAATTTCTTGAGCATCGTTGTGATTTGAAACTGGATGAAACGAAAAAGCGACACGGAGAAGACAGATCTCTGGCAAAGACTTTGGAGCCCTGGTTCCGCTCGATCGCTTCTTTAATACGAGCAGTATTAAAGTTGCGTAAGTCTCGCCGCATGCATTTGGAGATCTGTCTGTTCAGTTGCCTGTATGCTGTCAAATCTGTTGACGATTGCAGCCTCATCTCCCGTCTAACAGCCATGAGATTAAGAGTGTGATCGGAGAGTTTTTGTGTTCTTCTGCGGCGGGTCTTGCAGAACTTAGCTCCGACCGCATGGACAGTTTCCACGAGCTTGTCATTCATATCGTCCACTGCATTGCAATCTTGTAGGCACTGAAAGCGGTTGTGTAACTCGAGCTGAAAGTTTTCGGGATTTTGTATTAGAGCACGAGGGGGACGGAGCGTTGACTTCATTAGACGAGACCTCTCCAACTTAACGTTTAGGTTCAGTGTGCCTCTAACCATTCGGTGATCGCTGCCAGTTTTCACCCTTGCGATCACTGAGACATCACTGAACAGTTGGCGTCTGGTCGTCATAATGAAGTCAATCTCATTTTTTGTCGAACCGTCGGGGCTCGACCAGGTCCACTTCCTGTGGGGCCGCTTCTGGAAGAAAGAGTTCATCATAAAGAGTCCCTCTTTCTACATAAAGTCGGCCAGCTGCTGGCCCCTTCGGTTCCGTTGCCCTACTCCAAATTTCCCTAACTTCAGCTCACCGTTTTCTCTTGTGCCTAGTTTTGCGTTGAAGTCTCCCATCAACACCGTGTAGTGGGTTTTGGAGGAATGCATGGCTTTGGAAATATCCTCATACATTTCCTCCACCTCCTCATCGGAATGTGCCGAGGTTGGTGCGTAAACCTGTATGACCTTCAGCGAATACCGTTTGGTGATTCTGAGTATCAGGTACGCGACCCTCGTCGACACACTCCCAATCTTTACAACGTTGTTGACGAGAGACTTGTGGACGATAAATCCGACACCTCCTTGGGACAGATGGTCGCCCTCCCGGTGATAGAACAAGTTGCCGGATTCGAGAATCACCGTGTCCTCCCCCTCTCTTCGGACCTCGGATAATCCTATAATACTCCAGCGCAACTTGTCTATCTCTTCTTCCAGCTCCAGGATCTTCTCGTCAGTCCTCAGGGTGCGTGCGTTAAATGTTGCCATGAGGAGTCGTAGGTGGCAACCGAACCTCCACCGGAGATTCTTAGCACCCCCTGCCCCGCCGTTACCATGGTCGCCACCGTAGCCAGGAATAGTGGGGCCGCCGGGGACTGGGGGCCGTCTATTTGTGTAATTGTTCAGACACATAAATTCATAATATTAAACGTGGAAGAAAATGAAATAGGAAGCATTATAGATTAAAGCTCAATGCTCGCGAGAAAAAAGTCGTAAACGCCGCCGAAACGGCGTCGCTTATGCGTTGTGTTAAATCTTTTTGTAATTAGTGAGTACTATAATAAGGTATATCGAAAAGAGTAATATAATATCTGTGTCTAAATATGTATATATATATATATATATATATATATTGATTTATTTATATAAAATTTTCTTATATTTTATGCCGAACTTGTAGTTTAAATTATAATATTAAATAAATCATTTAATGTATTTGTATTTTATATTTCATTTCATTCGAAGGTTTCACTTCTGTCGCGTGTGAGCTGCACGCATGTTTTTTTTTTGTTATTCTATTTAATACTAAAATATAGTTTTAAATCAATTGAAGAACTTTGTACACTCCTATAGTAATGATTTAAGGAACTGCTATAGAACTTGGCAACCGTTCAAGTCTCAAGTCTTATCAGCGGAGCCAACAACCCCGATTGTAGTTCATACCGAACTTCCCATCCCACTCGATAACCCGCCCGAGACCAAAGAACTCTAAAAACTAAGTGACCTTTTAGTTTCGCAATCCGTACGGTTAATTATTAGTATATGATTTTAAATGTTTACAATTAGTTTATTCAAGAGTTCAAGACGAAGGTTATAATTAACTAAATCACCAAATAATTTCCTACCTACCTAATATCCAAGATTAATAATGGGTTGCATTTAATTTACACTTATACGATAAATTAATGACTTATTTGTGTTGATTGTCCTTGCACATTTCTTTTATTTCGTTATTTTTTGGAAGCTATTTCAAACCATATCTTATATTTCCGCGAATACTACACATTAAAAACAAAGTAATTTCTATTTTTAAGGATTTCATTGCGTTAATTAGCAAATTTTTTAATTACTATTATATTAGTTTATTCTCAAAACCATCATCGTTATCAAAATCTCTGGTGCTATTAAATTTGTATAATATTGTAAATAGTTAGTTAATAATGTACGATAGAAAGATAAATTATGTACATAAAATGAACTTTTAAGTACGCCTGATTACCGTTATCGATTACCATTAACAGCCCACTAAAGTCCACTGCTGAACATAGGCCTCGCCAATAGATTGCCTCATAGGAGGGATATTTGCCACAGCTGCCACGCTTGCCAAGCGGATTGGCAACTGCAGTTTTTATTTTGTTATTTAGAAGATGCTGCTGCCCATCTCCTAATTTGTTTCTCTCTGTGGCCTCTTACTATCCCGCCGGGAAGACACGGAGTAGTGGATATTCTTACACCGCCATTACACGGGTGACAAGCACGTCTAATTAGCTCAGCAAAGGCTGGAGAAAGTAGGTTCATTTCATAAAATAAATTATTTTAAACATCTTAACAGTTTTTATTACAAAACGGAAATAGTTATGATGAAAACCGTTCTATGACTTGGTATTGTTAAGTATTGCCATTACATGGAAAATAGACAGTCATGAAAAACTTACAAACATTTTGTAGATCGATAACATAACGTTATCCGTTGTACTTGGCACCAACTTTTAAGGCTAAATTATAAATAAATATTAGGTTCGGTCTAGGAGAAAAAACAAATCGTATATATTTTTCAATACAGTAGAGCCTCGTTAATCCGAACGTCTCTATAATCCGAACGCCTCTATAATCCGAACGCCTCTATAATCCGAACGCCTCTATAATCCGAACGACCCTATCCATCCAGAGCAAGTGACATACGAAAATACACTCCTGTTACAAGTTTCTGGTCAGCATGAAGTAAATTCAGAATGCACGTTACCTATCTGAAATGCTTAAAAAGACACGATGAAAGATACAATTTTTTTTTCCATTACATTTTCCAATGCTGGCAACAAGTGTCCTTAATGTTATCAAAAAATCTTCGAAGCCTCTGTGACTTCTTCTTCTTCTGAAACTTCTGGCTAAGATCTGGTTTAACCCTGAAGGTAATCTTCCATTGAACATTTTTCGAACGCCTTTCAGAAGAGGAAATTAACAATTACTTATCAAACATTGCTTGTCAGGAGCCATTAACTGATGAAGCTCGCGCTGTTTTGTATTAAATTAATGCTTGGAACCGGCGTATTAAGTAGATATTTTAATTTCAGAAATAATGTTATTGGTAAATTGAGGGATAAAGCATTTTCTTTTTCATTAAACACCACTTATTAAAGTACTATACAATACCTATTTAATAATACTTTGTGATAAACTTTAAAATTGTTCATTTCTTTTCGAACGCATTTGAATCTGAACTGGGTGTTTGTAAACTTTGGATGTTGAAATTATCGAGGCCCCTAAGCCAGTCCTTTACCTCTAATACAACAAAAACTCCACACTAGGTATAGTGTAATTAATGTAAGTGACGACGAAGATATTACTATAATATTGAATACTATAATATTGAAGATATAAGATTATTGATGATAAATTTTACGTATATGTATTGAATACTCACATTAATAATTTCCTTATTACTAGCTGCGGCGTAATGGAAAACGCTGTTCCCCTCCAGATCGATTGCGTTTAGAGAGCAGTTCAAAGAAAGGAGAGTCTGCACCATCCGAACGTTGCCTGTATTCACTGATACCTAGTCACATGCAAATTATTAATAGAAAGAAAAATGTTAGTTAACACAAACTTATGATTTCGTTGACTGCCTCCTTGGTCTAGTGGTTGTAGTAGTGCGACTGCTGATCATGAGGTCCTGGGTTCGAACCCCGGGTCGGGCCAAAAAATTAATTATTGAGTTTTTCCGTCAAGAAATTCTCAGTAGTTGCCCGGAGTCAGGAAGTTGGTGGTGTCTCACCCCCGTGCCTCGGAAAGCACGTAAAGCCGTTGGTCCTGCGCCTGATCTCTCTCCGGTCGTGTCGGTTTACCGTCCCATCGGATTACGAGAGTGAGGGAATAGAGAGTGCACCTGTGCTTGCGCATACACTTGGGCACTATAATCCTGTCCTGCGCAATAGCTAGCCTTCGTTGAGACAGGCCGCCGTGGCTGAAATTCGGTCTGGAGGACATTATTATTATTATGAATTCGTTACTTTTTTCTTCACCAATTTTATTTAATAGAATAAACGAGCACATAGTCCACCTGATATGACAAAGCTAGGACGCTCATTACTAGTAACAAAGATCTCCGGTTTTCTACACTCATCATACGAAAAAATGCAGTGTAGCGGCGCTGTCGTCGCGCCACTAGCACAGCGAAACACACCGAAGCCTAATTCACGCTATCAACATTCCGAATCATGAACAGTATATAGAACATCTCCGAACTATCACACGGAGTGTCGGCCGCTCCCTAGGCAGAACACCTTGCCTGGCGGGAGATCTCCCCTTTTCCTTCCACGGCCACATGCAGCATTAAGCTGCTATTGCAATCATAATATAACTATAGGCTCTACCTCGTTTTGGTCTGGATGTCCGGAAATCGTTAAAATAGATTAGGTATTCTAACAATTTAAGATAATGATTAACGTGACCAGACGTCCCGTTTTGAACGGGACTGTCGCTTTTTATAGTTACGAGTCCCGGTGTCCCCGAAATGAACTTTGGGACGCAAAATTGTCCCGTTTTCTGAAACCGCGCGAAAATTTAAGTAGTTGATTCGAGCCAGCCGGACGGCCGCCGTGCCGGCGCGGCCGGACGTAAGCAGTGTGCTAGAGCAACACCCATCGTAGGTGGACGCGGGAGCGATGACGTCTTCGCTTCGCCACTTGCGACGATAGCTGAGAGTGGCGAAGACGTCATCGCTCGCGTTTTGTTGACTAATTTTTTGACAGATTTTTCGTTCACTTCTTAATATTTGTTTTGTTGTTGTTGTTTGTTGCTTGTGTACCTAGTAAATAGCTTAAGCTTCTTTTGTTTTGGAATCATAAGTTAAAATGCCGAAACGCAAGTTGGCGTTCAATGTTAACTTACAAGCAAAATATCCGTTTATTAAGCAAATAAATACTCCCTCAGATGTCAAATGTGGAAAGTGTCGTACAGAATTTAGCGTTTCCCACAGTGGTGCCAGGGATATTGAACAGCATTTAAATTCTAAAAAACATAAAAATGCTGATCGTGCCGCCGCTTTGAGCCCTTCATTGTTAACCTTTTTCAAGAAATCGGACGCACCAACTTCAAAGGATTTAGATATCGCCGCGACAGAAGGCGTCTGGGCTTATTACAAGATACGAGAAAACCACAGTTTTCACTCTAATAATTGTGCATCGAAATTAATTCAATCATGTTTTGATCCCAAATTTACATGCGCGCGTATGAAATCAGACCTATTATAGTAAATATTTTGACACCTGGTGCGATTAAAGAATTAAAAAGATGATCTTGATAAGTCCAATTGTATTACAATTGAAGAATACTGAACAACTGCAAATCACGGTAACAAGAAAATATACCCTATTCTAGTGCGCTTTTTTCAACCTTACGTAGGCGTGAAAGTAAAAATTTTGGATCTTCAAGACCAACCATGTGAAACTTCTGACATCATTGTCAATTACTTAAACCAAGTGTTGACAGATAATAATTTGACAGCAAAAGTCGTGGCATTTTGTGGGTACAATGCCAAGGTCAATTTTGGAGGCGCACCTAGGCGAGGAACTAACAATGTGTTAACGAAATTACAATCATCTCTAAAAAAGCCGTTAATAGGTATTGTATGTGGAGCCCATGTAATTCACAATAATTGAAATCTGCTGCAGACAGGCTACCCTTAGATTACGAAAACATTATTGTTAAGATATATTCATTTTTATGACGATTTTTATGACGACACAATTCGAGTTGAAGCTCTAAAGGAGTTTTGCACCGAAACTGAAACGGAATATCAACAAATGCTCGGCTATAGCAAAACCAGATGGCTTGCTCTTATGCCTGCCTTGGAAATGGTTTTAAAAATTTTGCCTTTGAAAATGTCCCCTGTTATTAAAAATTTTTTGAAGATCCCACATGCGAATTGTGGCTTTATTCAAGCTGTATTGTAACTTGAAGGTCAGAACGTATCAGCAATTGTAGCTGCAAAATAAATCAATCAACTAAAAGACAATTTGACTCCGAAACAGACTAATCAGTTTCTTCCATTTACCGTCCGTCAAATAATAGCGAAATCGAAAGATAATTTTACTGACATATAGACGAAGAGTTTGTGAAAAGTATGGTTACAGAATTTTATAAAACAAGCCGTGAATATCTGGAGCAGTGGACTGTGGAGTGGAGCCAAAGAAATGGAGATATTTTATTGGGCAGATTTAAAAAAGGTCCCCGCGTGGGAAGACGTTCAAAAATCTCTGCATGTTTTAATTGATAAGGAATATATTGACTGTAATGCAGAAGTTTTTGACGAATTCACATCAATTTGCAACTACATTACATCGAAGAAAGTAACCGAATGGAATAATCAAAATGTTTCCACGGAAACTCGTCGGGTGTAAGAAGTATTCAAACACTTTCAAGCCAACAATCCAATCTTCAGCATGAAAACTTTTCTATTTTAATTGAATATATTTTACGTTTGCCTGCTACAAATGCTCGTATAGAAAGAGTATTTTCTATGATGAACAAATTATGGACATCTGAGAAAACCCTAACAAGTTTCAGTTCCAAAAGCAATGTTGATAATTAAGCTGAATGTAAATAAAACGTGCCAACAGTTTCATTCTTACTTAAAATCATCACCAGCTATATTAAAGCAAATTTGTTCCTCTAATAAATATAACTGAACGTTTAGGGTATATATATTTTTAATACGTAACTTTTAATCTAACTGACTTTTTCTGAATAAATAACTTTAAAAAAGTTTTTTCATTGACAACCTGTTAATTGATCTAAAAAACAAATGTCCCGTTTTGAGTCAAAAAATAAATGGTATTCTACACGTTAATTATGATAGACTACCGCGCAGGCTTCGGCTGGATAGGATCTATTAATGTGGCGTTATTTAGATTTAAGATAAGCAGACTATTCATTTTATCAAATTCGGTTTTATTTTAAAAAACAAAAAAAAAACTTTCGTATAAAATATAACCTAGATATCTCTGGTATTGCTTCAGCCATTTCAAAGAATGTTCAGCCATTTCGAAGATTAGCCCGCACAAACAAACTGACAGACAAACAAATATTCTAAAAATCATTATTTAAGCAAAGAAGCCAGTTATTTTAATATAACAGAAAGACACTTCTAATATTATTTATATATTAAATGATAGATATGAATGGATTGTTCAATATCACTAATACGTGTCAAGGTTGGTATTTTTTTCTCCTTTATTAGACCGCAGAAACCGACATCTTCCGTTTTAGGAAAGAAGGGATAGTTGATTGCGGTACAAGACATTTACACATTTTGAGCGCTGTCCATTGCCAATCAGGGTATTTTTCATTCAATCATTTCTATATATGTTTACAAACATTATATCTACTACTCATTATTATTCTTTATTTCTCAACTTCGTTTATACAATACAATAACAATTATGATCATCAACATCATCAACCTTATTTATACCCCTCACTGGGTAAGCACTGGCTGGCAATGTTTATGTTACTTGTTTATAATGCAAGTTTGATAGGACGGAATAGTGTTACAAGAAATATTATTGACGCACCATTAATGGAGTGGCTCCAGTCGCTGGATCTGGGTCATCAAAATGCCTCTGGACATCGGGTTCATTGAACAATTCATAGAGGCCGAAGTGAGCTACCAAATGCGCAATCGTCCATGATCGATGTTCCGATAACGTGTCGCATAGCTTCTGTAAGGACTGAACTGAACACTAAAAGAAAAACGACTATAAGTTATAATAAATTCCTATAATTCCGATTTTCATTAATACTTAAATTAAAATAAAATACAATTCATACACTTTTTGTTAAAATGAACTTAAATTCATTAAACAATTAAGAGCATTTAAAAACGAGTTCAGCCTATGTTTGCCCATTAGCATAAACTTAAATGTTGATAAGACCCCAAATATTTTTATCATCATTACAGCCCTTCACAATTCCACCGCTAAACATAGGCCTCCCTCAAGGAATGCCATACAGCACGGTCCTGACTCCTGAGCCACCTGTATCTATCGACTTCGTGAACTTGATAGGGCTACGATTCCTGCGTGTCCTGGTAAGACACGCAGGAATCGTAGCCCTATCAAGTTGGGAGGGTCGCCCTAAGCTTCACCTACCGGTATGAGGCTGCCACTCGAGAACTTTCTTTCCCCATTGGTTGTCGGTTCTTCGAGTTATATGGACAGTCCATTGCCACTTCATCTTACTCATCCGATGTCACTCTGGATCTACCGCGGATATCCTCATTTCTATGTTTATCACGCAGAGAAACCCCGAGCTTAGCCCTCTTCATAGCTCGCTGAGCGACCTTGAGTGTCTCATACGGCCAGCAGTGAAGGACCACGTCTCAGTTCCATAAGTCATTACTGGCAACTCGCACTGGTTGTACAGTCTTGTTTTCAGGGTTTGAGATACCTATAGCTGACAAGAAGATGTGTCGTAATTTCCCGAACGTTACCCAGCCGAGTTGAATCTGTCGATTGACTTTTTGGCCGAAGTTGGATTTACCTAGTTGGATTATTTATTCCAGGTAAACATACTCGTCAACAACTTCGAGCCTGGTGCTCCGAACAACTACCGGCATAGGTGTGACATGGACTTTACACATGATCTTTGTTTTGTCCCTGTTCATCTTAAGACCTATTCGTTGGGAGTCACTATTATAATATATCATTGAGCATATAATATATCATTGAGCATAGTGCTTAAGTCCTCCAGCGATTCTGCCATAAGGACTATATCGTCGACAAATCGAAGGTGAGTACTCGCCATTGATGTTAATACGTCTTCCAATGCAGCGATGAAGAGTTTCGGGGATATAACATCACCCTGTCTTGCACCTCTCTGCAGTTGGATAGTTTTCGTACTCTGGTTCTGTACTCGGACAGCCATCGTAGCCCTACTGTACAAACACTTCAGCACTTCGATATACCGACAGTCAACTTGGCACCGCTGAAGGGACTGTAGCACCGCCCAAATTACGAAGGAATCAAAGGCTTTCTCATAGTCCACATACGCCAGGTAAAGTGGCAGATTGTACTCTTTGGTCTTCTGTACAATTTGCCGAAAGCTATGTATGTGGTCTATGGTACTAAAGCCTTTCAGAAACCGGCTTGTTCGACAGTCTGGAAGTCGTAGAGTCTGCAAGCGAGACGATTCGTAATGACTCTCGAAAGCAGCACTTAGACGCGGCTCAGAAGGAAAATCAGTCTGTCGTTCTTGAAGAGAGCCTTGTCACCTTTCTTGAAGAACAAGACCACCGCTTTTCTGCTCCACGCCTTCGGAGTAGTACCACAATGGAGGACAGAATTAAAGAGCTGCTGAAGGACTTCAAGTACCGGTTTTTTACCCGCTTTCAGCAGCTCCGCTGTAATTCCATCCTCGCCCGAGGACTTGTTGTTTTTAAGGTGCTGTAGAGTCATTCTAATCTGGCTCAGACTGACGTCCGGGATATGACCGGAAGTAGTGTCGGATAAGACTTTCTCTTGGATCGTTACTCACACTTGCGTGTGGCTCCAACGATGATATATACAGCTGCCCATAGAACCTCTCAATCTCACTCAAAATCTCAGCTGTCCCGGAAACGGAACACACTCGGTCTTCAGCTTCGACAGTTGGCTCTTTCTGGCAGACAAGACTCTGGCAAAGACTTTGGAGCCCTGGTTCCGCTCAATCGCTTCTTCAATACGAGCTGTATTGAAATTGCGTTAGTCTCGTCGCATGTATTTGGAAATCTGTCTGTTCAGTTACCTGTATACTGTCAAATCTGCTGAAGACTGCAGCTTCATTTCCCGTCTAGCAGCCATGAGATTAAGAGTGTGATCAGAGAGTTTTTGTGTTTTTCTGCGGCGGGTCTTGTAGAACTTAGCTCCGACCGCATGGACAGTTTCCACGAGCTTGTGATTCATATCGTTCACTGTATTGCAGTCTTCTATGTACTGGCACCATATCACTGAACAGTCGGCCTTTGGTCGTCATAATGAAGTCAATCTAATTTTTTGTCGAACCGTCGGTTACGGAACCGTCATGCGTAAACCTGTATGACCTTCAGCGAATACACACACTCTCGATCTCTACAACGTTGTTGACGAGAGACTTGTGGACGTTAAATCCGACACCTTCTTGGGACAGATGGTCACCCTCCCGGTGATAGAACAAGTTGCCGGATTCCAGGATTACCGTGTCCTCCCCCTCTTCTACCTCTCATAATCTCCTCTACCTTTTCTTCCAGCTTCAGGATCTTCTCGTCATTCCTCGTGTGTGCGTTATGTTGCCAGGTCGAGTCGACTTAGGTGGCCACCGAACCTCCACCGGAGATTCTTAGTACCATGATCGCCACCGTAACCAGGAATAGCGGGGCCACTGGGGACTGGGAGCCGTTTGTTTGTGTCGTTGCTCATGGGGTCATCCACTGCCACTACATGGCTTATATTTTTATACAATTAATAAATGCAATTTAAAAAACACATTTGTTGTACATATATTGTGTAAAACTACCTATGATAACACAGTCACTAAATAAAAGTATAATTAAATGTTTTCATTTATAATTTGACTTGCTAAAACATCTACAACTTACAAAGTTAACACCGACTTTGGGTTCCTTGGACGCCTGCATGGGCCACTCATTTAAGTAAAGAACATTTACTTAAGATTTACTAATTATATTTGAATTTTAAATACATTTACATTATTTTTTTTTATTAATCGCATAAAGGAATTAAAAAATCTTTTACATTGAGATTTAACCCTGTGTGATTGTGAACTATGCTTTATGCCTTCCAGATTTTTGTAATTATTTCTTATTTCCAAAGCCATTCTTGTGTTATTAGTGAGGATACGAAACTAATAATAAATAATATCCCTCCATTCAATAAAGCAGCATAAAGTATCAGCAGACAACTAGCTTTGGTCATCTTACTAGTGCTTATTTTGGTAAAAGGAAAAAAATACTATCTGTAAAAATTACTTGCAATCTATATTGAATAAAAAGTTATTCTATTGCTATCATAGTAGTTATTTTGTCTTCCATAAAAAATCTTTTAGTAGAAGCAAATAAAGTGATGTTGCAAAGAGACTTATTTTGGTGATATATTGCACTTACTTTTAATGCCATTTACATACCATAAATATTTTATAACTCAAAGTTGTTACCAAAAAATGATTATTCAACTAAATTCTTACATCAGACTGGGATAATATCCGTTATCCGTCATATGTAAGTATATAATATGATCGCTCACACCTTTGAACATGGTATATCCCATAGTATTTACTATCGAACAACTGTTAAAAATGCACTAATTTCTAGATGTAAAACTCTTGAATCATGAAACATTTGTTTCACTTATTTTTAAGAATGTATCACAAATAAATTGTGACCTGTTTTTGTAGATAGGTCATTACATAAAAGCAAATTATATATCTAATACATAGTTTTTCATTTAAAATGTAATAAAATATTTCTCAAGCTTTATTCCAGTATTAATGTAATTTAACTATGTAATAAGACACTACTTAAAAATATTTTAAATTATACTAACCTCTTTAGTGATTTTTATAAAAAGTGGAATTTTTTCTTTAAAAACTATGAACTTATCTTCTGCACTTTCTTGATTTTCTGATCGGAATAAACTGTAATATAACATGAATTATATTGTAAAAATTAAATATTGTCGATAACTGATACATATTTGAAAATAAATAGTATTCTCTGACCTGAACATTTGATGTAGGCTTTCAGTAAAAGGTTTATGTAGAACAATTTCATAAAGTTTATCTTTAGGGTTCTTGGTATCAGGGGGAATTTTTGGTCCATAAAGTAACATAGAATCTTCCCTGTAATGTATCGGCCTAGAAATATAGTTGTCTGATCGCACTTCTAAGACTTTAGTCGGCTGCTCCTCAATACCCAGAAGTCCTCGAAAGACTTAAAAATTTTGTTTAATATATTATTTCGTTTAATTAAAAAATACACTTATAATAAAATAAATACAAGAGAGCAGCTTAATAAGTTTTTTTTAGAAAATGAACAGACTTAAAATGAACTAATAAGAAAAAAGTTGTATTTATTAAACTAGAACTTTCCCTGGGTAAACTAAAGACGTCCGGTACTCGCGTACGGTGTTGGGAGGGGGAGGGGGTCATGGGAAGCCCCGCCTACCCTTCCCCTGTTGCGGGAATGTATAGTTTATGAGTAATATTTTTTTTTGTAAAATTATAACTTCACTTTTTATACCGTTCCCCCGTTGCGGAAATGTATAGTTTATGAGTAATAATTTTGTTTGTAAAATCATAACCTCACTTTTTTATACAGGAATATTGACGCAAAGTTACTTCTGCAACGGCTTCGGCACTGCGGGAAGTGCACCCCCTTCGCCCTTGCGTAGCAAATTGCAGGCACCCATGCTCACCTCCGCATGCTACGGCCTGCAATTATCTACAGCGGGCGGCGGCTGCTCACCTTCCATGCCTACGGCGTTACAAAAACACTCTAGTTTAGTTTGGTTTACCATGGGCTGTTTTCCGCAACTCCACGTCTAAGCGCGTATTTTGCGTGTGGGCAGGAATAATGTGGTTATTCGAGCCATGATATTTCCCCGAAGAAGTTCAACAGTCCCTTGATGTTGCAAGCAACTTCGGGGAGCGATCCCGGCGTTCCAAAATGTTTAGCTCTGTATGAAGCGACTTCTGGACATGTCAGCAACACGTGAGCCGCCGTTTCTTCCTCTCCCATGCATGCCCTGCACAGGGGGCTATCAGTAACACCTATGGTAAACAAATGTTTGTTAAAAGAGCCATGTCCTGTGATGTGTTGTTACTATCCTGATCTGTGGCTTGTTCGGTCTCATTAGAATCTTGGTTAGGCGACTGTTTATTTCAGGCAGGGCCTCCCTAGCTTGTCTACAGTCTTCTAAATTTTTCCAAAGCTGAGCATGTAAATTATTGAAGTGGTATTATAGGTTCCGGCCCTATAGTAGCCAGAGCTGTTCCCCTTCTGGCAAGTTCATCTGCTGCATTGTTGCCTCTAGATCCACTGTGTCCCTTGATCCATTGCAGTCACATTGTTGTGCTTACATACCTCATTCAATCGCTGATGGCACTCATATATCAGTCACGAGTTCTCCACATTACAACTCAGAGCTTGTAGTACCACCATACTGTCGGTCAGTATTCTGATGGAGAAGTCTTTCACCTTCCTAGCGTCTATTGCTATGGCCGCTTGGATGACACCCATGCATTCAGCCTGGAAGACTGTGTTATGGGTACCCAGCGGTGTGCATATGTGGATATTAAGGTCTTCAGAGAAAGCCCCAGACCCCAAACCTTCATTTGTCTTAGAACCATCTGTGAAAACTTTGAGCTCTTTAGGTCCCAATCCATCCAGCTGGTCAGTTTCCTTCAATTGTATCTTGTACTTCTTATCGAATAAAAATTGCTTTGGGATCCTATCATACTAGGCTTGTAAGATAGGAATTTTTGAGTAAATTCTGTCTATTATACCTGTATGGGGGACTCTACTCTTACTTAAAAGATTTAGGGTCTTGAGTCTAATGGCAGCTAAAATTGCTTCTTGTTTTATATGTAGATGAAGCGGTGTTAGCTCCAGTATAGCCTCCAAAGCTGCTGTTGGTGTAGTTCTAATGCAGCCCGTGGCAGCCATACAAGCCAATCTCTGGTAACGCTGAAGCTTTTGTATAGTGGTGGCTTCGTTAGTTTTGGTCCACCATACCAGAGAACCGTATGTGATCATGGGCCGAATTACAGTTTTGTACAGCCACAGAATAATTTTTGGCATCAAACCCCATCGTTTGCCAATCATGTTTCTGCATTGCCAGAAAGTTAAACTAGCTTTGTTGATTTTGTTGTCTATGTGTTTATTCCAGTTAAGTTTACTGTCCAAGGTAAGACCTAAGTATTTTACCTCGGAGGACAGCTGGAGTTTTGTGCTGAAAAAACTTGGGAGATGATAGTTATTCAGTATTTGTTTTTGTGTAAACATTAATAGAACTGTTTTCTTTGGATTAACAGTTAGGTCATATTCCCTGCACCATCTCTACACAATATGGTGAGCCGCTTGGGAAAAACACTCTAGGGAAAAGTCAGACCAGACTACGTGGAGTCGGGGTGTGCTAATTCGGTTTTTGAACCAATTCGATCAATCTTATCTATAAAGTCTTGTTGCCCTAAACTCTGTTATGATAGTAGTAAATGAAATAATGTAATGTGAAATTTTTGTTTTCTAAAAAACCTCTTGACTGCTTTCCACTGCAACTCAATTTGTTGTATATAAGTCCTGTCTCCAGCCACAAATGGATTGTCTGGGTCCGAGTGATTAACTTTTTTATTAGTGTATCCGTGCCAAAAAAACAAATTGACATATTTGTGATTCATTATATGCAGTTTTTAGTAAAATTTATTTTTATCGTAATTAATTCAAAAGGCATTTCCGAAATCCAAAAACAGTGTAAATGGTTTCGAGCTGAACCCTGGCAATCCTCCAAAATTGAAAACAAAATTAAAAAATCAAGTACCTTTCATCTACTTCATAATACTGACATATGTGCGTTTTGTTATTACACAATTTTTAGTGAGATTTGTTTTTATCGTAATTAATTCAAAACGCATTTCCGACATCTAAAAAGAGTGTAATAGGTTCAAGCTTAACCCTAACAAGCCTCCTAGACTAAAAACATTATGAAAATCAAGTACCCTACCCTACCCTATTGAAATAATCTTAAAAATAAGACAAGCCATTTCTGAAAAAATCATGCACATACAAACATATGGAGATTCCTTTTTTTAAGGGTTTTGAATATAGTTCCTATATGAAAATAATTTAAGTTATATAGGCACAAGCCCCTTTCAATCTTGAGAGGGTTATGGAGCACTTAGTCCACCACAACGCTTCATTGTTAGTTAGCGAACTTTACGAACGAAATATTACGATGTTTTTCTTCACTGCCTAGTACATGGTTAATAGGAACTTAAAATTGCAATTAACATTTTTATTGGTGTATACAGGGATCGAACACAGGAACCGTACCTAAATTTACGGAGTGCTTAGCCCCTGAGCTACCACTGCTCTTAATAAATTAATTTATTACTTACATGAATTAAACATTTTTGCAATTATGTCACAACTATAACTAATCAAACAAAAACTATTCGAGCATCTAATTCACAATAAAAAGCCTTCGATTAATAACATCAGTTCCTGATTACCACTACGTTTCGACACCACTACACCTAGCTACACCATCGAAAATAATGTTTATCTTTATAACTCTTTATTAATTAAAAACGTCAAAATCGATTCATCTAAAAATCTATTATTTATAGTAAAGGGTATGTTTCGAAATACAACGCAGTGTACTGTCCAAGTGTCCAATGCAAATGACGTATCATTTGACACTTTATTGTAAAGCGTGCCGCCGCCATATTGTGTCGGATATCCGGCCATAATAAAACAATTTTTAATTTTGTGTTTGCCGAATGAAGCATGCCAGAATTTGTTTCTATTTATTCAAATACAAAAAATTATAGAATAATTGATGGTATATCCATTAGGGGGATATAATGATTTTTGGAGCACAATATGACAAAATAATCGCCAACACTTTTCCAAATGGCGCAAAAGTATGACGTCATATACTGTCCAATGTTTTGGAACGAATCACCAGTATAGCGTCGATTCATGACGTCATTTGCATTGGACAGTACACTGCGTTGTATTTCGGAACATACCCAATATAATCGATCAAATTTCAGATCGATTTAAAACACTACATCGATTCGATGAATCGTACAAAAACATCTCGAATCGGACTGATTCAAGAACTAGAGATATTTCAAATGATTCAAGGATCAAGAAATACTTTTACATAGTTGAAAGTTGAAACATCTGTTCCTTGTGACATGTGTTTCTTTTTCTGTAACGGGAAATTTTGCTATTGACGAAAGAAGTCGTCTAGATCTCAAGCAATTAGTTGAACTGGGAAATGTAATTTATTGTTAAATTATCGTTTAAATTGAATTAAATTTTATAAATTTAAAATCTGTTTAATTTAAAGACTGAGAGGACCTGGGTTCGATCTTCGGGTTGTTCAAAAGTGTTATTGGGGTTTTTCTAACTTTAAATGCTCAGTAGTAGCACGGAGTCTAGATTTGTGCACGCTTTATGGCAATAGACTCACCCCCTATTACATGGGTACGTATAACATAACTGGTTAAGAGGGGGAGTACTACACACCTCTGCCTACTCCTTCGGGGAAATATAGGCGTGATGTTATGTTTATTAATTTAACGATAATGCTATCCAATTACTCGTATTTAAAGTAAATTACCATCGATAATATTCTGTATCTATTTCTGTGATCTGAAATACAGATAAATATTTATCTAGTTCAGACAAAGATGTTTCAACATTCTTTGTGAACTAAGTATAGGTCATAGAATAGTTATTTATAAATGTGATAACTATGCAAGTTGTGAGAATAAAGTATTATTATTATTATATTAGGCATATTTAAAAAAGGTCGCGATTAATCGACCCTTTAATGCTCAATTTATTAGAGATCGATTTTTGTAAAGTGAATCGACATTGTAACCTACCTTGCTATTTCGAGAAGCTATTCTGACCAGCGCTGCCAACATGTGGGGAATTCCCCAAACTGCAGGGAATCTCAAGTTGATTGGGGATTTTTTGGGAATTCTTACTATTGGGGAAAATGCGGGGATTTTAAAATTGGTAGCCCGGGCCAAGTCGGAACCCGTTTTAAGAAACCTATATACTTATCTTAATATTTTTGTTTACATAACATTTAATTTCAGGATTTATTTCGGTAACTTTTGTGTATAATTTAATGCTTTAACGTTGCTTTTTTAATTTTAGAGCAGAGAACTGCATTATACAAATGCTGATACTGTGGTACTTTTTAATGGCAACAACGGAATTAATTAACTGTAACTAACCTGTAACTACCATTTTACCTGTAACACAAGGAGTGTTTTCCTTGTAGTAAAATGGTAGTTACAAAAATATAGCGAAATTGTGAAAAAAAAAGTGAAACAATCTGCCAACACGGTCCGCGAACTAACCGTTGCCTTCGTTGATATTCGTTGTTTCTTGTTCTAACGACGATACCATATCGTTATTCGGAAACAGTAACCTTCAATTACCCAGAATAGTATAATTTTAAAATCTTCAAAATTATAACGTTCTGAGTTATTGAGAGTTAGAGTTTTTGAAAATACTCAAATGTAAGTTTTCTTCATTTAGAGATCATTAAGTGTATTTTTTATTGAATAATATACAGATTATGGTCAAGTTTATCGTGTGTTACTAAGATTTAGATGTCATTTATAGTTTTGAGTTATCCGTATTAGTGTGAAAAAATAGACCATTATTAAAGTGAAAATTTCCAGAAAAACTAAGCACTAATTAGAATATTTCTGAATGAGCCGGTTTATTATATACTTAATAATAATATATACTTAATTGTTTTCGTTATTTTGTTTTGCAACCTCCAAACTTGGGTAATAGTCGCGGTACGCGGTAACTTGGGTATACTCTTGGACTCTCACATTTGAGTCACATAAACAGGTCGATAGTGGTACTCATTTCATAAATATAGTTCTAACTTTGCTGCACCCCTATCTCTAGTTTCGTTGCGCACATTTAACACTTCATCGCTGCACTCGAATCATAGGTGTCAATTTTTTGACATCGTTTATACTACAAGATCGCCGTCATTATTAACACTAAAGTGTTTACGAAACCGCGTTACTAAGGCTTTTAAATCTGTAATTTCACTGAAGTTTAATAAGTATACTTCGTGTGAAGTTCCAGTCTTCTTGGCTCGTTGTAACACTAATTTTCTTTGTGGTGGCACGCAAATGGATCCATTTTTTAGTATTCTTATTTTTTCCCGTTTATACATTTAACCTTTTTTTTTTACAGAAAAGGAGGGAATCGTTTCCACATTGTATCCGCAGAACAGCTTGCATATCAGGACAATAAATTATCTCGTTAGCATCATTTATGCATGCTCGTATTTCTATATTTGCTTTCTTTTCCACAATAGAAATGCGATAATTTTTTCTGATAAGTATTTATATGGCAACATCTTTGTCAACCTGTGCTAGATATTTACTGGTATTACCATGACGTCCTCTACGATCTTCAGTAATTACCTAGTTACTTACAAAAAAGGATTTCTTGTCTACTCACTTTTCTACCCGGTTCGGTCTAATAATATTTTTGGTGCTCGAAAACATCGTGCTCGGGAGTCTCTTTACGAATAGCATTTAATTTTGTCTCTGGAACAAATTCTACCACACAACCACAAATTAGTAAGCAAAAAGGGAGAAACGTTATATCTTTAAGCAATCGTAATCTAGATAAAACTGTAAACGATTACAAACTTTAAAGAGTCGATATCGATATGTCTAATGAATCGAATATTATAGGTACCGATTTTTCAATTGGAATGCCTAGTCCAGTGATTGTGACAGCTGCCAAAATGTATTAGTTAGCGTAGACCATGAAGGTTAGAGATTAGAGAACTTCTCTAACCTTTTCATGAAAGTTAGATTACAGGAGAACGATCTAAAGCATAGCTCGCCTGTCCTTGAAAATTGTAGAATACATAGCGGCGCTAACGTCGGTGAGTAGTGACTGCGAAGTTACCTGTTTATGAGTACAAGTAGTTGAAGTTAGTTGCATATTGTACAAATTTTCATTTCATTTTTTCGTTGAAAATTTTCATGCTCCGTAATTTTGTAATTTTTGACAAAAAGAAACATTAAAAAATGGAGGAATATTTTATTGTGCATTGATGTACAAGTGGTTGAGCATCTGATCGGAAAAATAGACTGAAAACGACTTTTATTGACTGCACTTAGTGATCGCAGCGCCTCACTGATGGTGTCCATATTTCTGGGACACTATTTCTACGGCGATCGTTCTCCTGTTCTCTAACCTTCATGCTTCTTCTAGAGAAGTTCTCTAACCTTCATTTCTCTGTCTACGTGTATTAGATTTGGTCACAGAATAAATAATAATATTACTTACCGAGTATAATCACGGAGTACTTTTATATACAGGGTGTTTGGTGGGTGGTCTGAAAAACTGAAATGGGAGATAGATGGGTTCGTTAGAAGCATATTTTATTAGTAAATTTTTTTTTCTATCTCTTACCATTTTTTTTAAATGAATTTTTAAATTTTTTCTGTTATTATCCCAATTTTCTAGTATTTTGGTTCAATAACTTCTACTATTTCTAGTTTTCTACCATTTTTTTATTTTTCCTAAGAAATATGATTTTTTTTAAATTAAAAGAAAGATTGAAAGCCCAAAAGGCATAAGAAAAAATACTTACGACACATTGAAAGTGAACAAACGAGAAAAAAAATTGTAAGCCCTTAAGTTTCCAGCCCCTTAAAAAATAAATAAATATGTTGAGTAATTTCTAATGGCCTTAAAAACTTCCCCGATTTACCCTCTTTCTATCGGTATATCATATGTCAAATAAAACTTTAGATTATTTAACGAAATCATTGATAATTGAATGAGGGCGAAAATCGAGTTAGGGCGGGGGAATTAAAAAATTGCCGCTTAGGACCCGCGGGTCAGCTACAGCTACCAGCTCATACGAGCGCCTGTTATTGTATTTAAAACAAAAACAATTAATGGTTGTGTCTACACTACACTAAACAGGGTCTTGCTCAATAATAACAAAAAATAAGTACCTACTAGTAATTTTTTACTAAATTTACAAGTTTTGTTCAAAATGTCCTCCTACATTATGCAGACACGCTTGATATCTTCGTCGTATTTCAGTCGTGGTAGTTTTTAATCGCATTTCTTCTTTCATAATATGAAAAGCAGCATTTATTTTTCCAATCAACTCTTCTTTTGTTTGTATTTCATTTTCGTATACAATTTCCTTTGCTCGGCCGCAGACATAAAAATCCATTGGAGTCAGATCTGGGGATCTCGCAGTCTCCCTATCCACGTGTTCGGAAATGCCGCATCTAAATATTCCCTTACGGTTCTGCGATAGTGGGCAGGGCAGCCATCGTTTTGAAATATTATTCTTGTGTTCTCATTCATTATTGATA